GAGCTGTTACTTTCACTCTATGCATCTGAAGAAGTGAGGTTTTTACCCACGAAAGCTTATGGCCAAATAAATCTGTTAGTCTTTAAGGTGCCACCAGACTCCTTGTTGTTTTTGTCTCAAAGAAGTCTTCTGATATATGAGTGCCCTTCTCCTTAGCTTCCTTTGCAGCGTGCAGAATAGTTGTAATACTAGTCAGCAACAGCAGAGTGGATGCAAATGTGAAAATGACCTTATTTTGCTGCCCAGGGTGTGTAGCATGTCTGCATCAGCTACTGAGGTCAGTCCCTACTGCGGCAGAGTCTGGGGTGTTGCCAACAAGTGGGTAAATGCAGTATTGCTAACTCCAAGAGTTCTAAAATCAGAGCACAATCCAAATTAGACCCAGGTGATTTATTTCCAACCTCAAATGAATGTGCAATCCATTCCTGGTACATTTGTGCCTGTGTCCTAAATACCTATTATGGCAGCATTGAGAGCAGCAGCATGTCCTGAAATGATCAGGAAAATACTCCCCTGAGGATAGCTGATACAGTAATGCACTTTCTGTTTCCCAGTCAGAAAGCACTACATTAGATTCAGCCATGCAGTCCCCTTTGCCAGCACAACTCAAACCCCAAACACAGACACACCTCAGAGCTTTTCAGTTGTTTTGGCTGGGACATTAACCGTAGGTGACCTAGCCCACTTTAAGCCTTGATAATAGCATTTCTTTCAGTAGTGGATTAACATGGGAGGCTTCACTGAGGAAGCACGTTTTGAAGAGGAGCAGGAGATTGCTTGCCACTCGAGTTTATGGTGAGTGTTCCAGAAGTAAGGGCAGCAAAGAAGAAGGTGTTTCATGTGCCACACTCCCTCTGAGGTGCATGCAGGTTTCTACAGGAGACACTTCTTTTTTCTGAACTGAAAATAGGGGCTTGTACTGAAAACCTTGAATAATCATAACCAAAGTAGTGCTATCCAGCCTGACGTAGAGTTGTTTTCATCACAACAAACTCCTAATCGCTCAGGAACAAGGGATTTTTACATCAGTCAAACTGACACTTCGGGGTCCAAAATATCCCCCATTCCAGAACATGATTTCCAAATTACAAGGTTCAACATAGGATATGAAACCCTTGCACCATGTGTTAATAGACCACAGGAGACATGAACCCTTAAGGAGTGTGACTAACAGATTTTGAGACTGCTCTTTGGGATGCCATGAATACTTGAGCATTAAAGGCAAAATCCTGGCTTCACTGAAGTCAATGTGAGTTTTATCATTGATTTCAATGAAGTCAGGATTTCATCCTAAACCTCACATCTCTGCAAATTCCTTACAAAATACATCTCTCTCAAAAATGAAAACTTTGTCAGCCTAGTGGTTACATCTTAACCTTATGAGACTGCTACCAAATCTATGTCAAAAAGGCACCAGCTTCACTGATATTATGAAGCTAGCTCACAGTAATAACACTACACTCATATTCAGTGCCCACTCTTACCGTCCTTATTCAAGCAATACTCATATGGACTCAAATGGGAGTTTTGCTTGAATAAGATCTATAGGATCCTGCAGACATTTCCATCTTTCCTCATGTCAGTATTCCCACTGAAGTCATAGGAATACTCACTGACCCGTAATCATTTTTAGTGACCAGTACTGATAACTACCATATGAAAATACTGCAAGTGTACATTCTTAGGCCATTACACAGAATACTTTTTTCTTTTAAACACCATTAAACAAATATCATCATTCAGTATGGGACACTGGGGGGAGGAGAATCCCTAAATAAATAAGATAATACATAGGTTTTATTTTATTTTCAGTCATATTTCACCAGTTATATTGACTTCTGTAGTTTGGAGATGCCCTAATTCAATCAGAATCAGAAGCTAAATGAAACACAGGCCTTTACCAAGGAAACCTCTAAGTAGCCCAGTAGAATTATCCTCCAGGCATTGCTATAGCAACCCCACTGTACAGACATTTCCATCATTATCCTTTTTTATTCTCCTCTGCCTCCCCACCAGCTTCTCTGCTCCTCAGATTCCAACTATTGCACAAATGCCAAGAGATTTTCATACAACTTTGGGACAAAGGGTGGAAAAATGTGATTTTTATAAATTTCCTATTTAAACAGTATTACACCACTACAAATATTATTTCAGACAAATAAGAATAGAAGAAGAATCTTTGAAACGTACAGTACCAAAGTTTGTCAGTAAAAAAAGCATCCCAGGCATAGGCTATCAGTAATGAGGACAAGAGAAAAAAAATATTGTTCTGTTAGCATATTGCATAGTATTTCTACATTTCTGGTGGCAATGCAATCACCAGAAAGAATCTCTACTTCGGAATAAACATCTCCAAAAAGTTATATAAAAAAGTATGATATATTAAGTAGGCTTCATAGAGGAGAAAAAAGGATCATTAAGAGTAATTTCAAAACAGCAAACAAAGCAACATTTAGATCTAATAAAATAATAAAATATTTGCAAACACATTATATAGTCTAATTAAATATTTTGCTTGTGTCATATATGTGAAACAATTTTTCTAACATTTTAACAATAATCAAGAAAGAACCACTTTAGAAACAAGTTCCATGTCAGAGTTATAAAGAGCTTCTATTTTGCTTCTGATTTTTCATTTTAATAACTACCAAAATACTCTAGATAATGTTATAATAATTACATTCACTTTTAAATATTTTGTTGAAAACAACAGTGTATATTACCTATTCTTGCACTAATAGAAAAACATGTCTTTTCTAAAGAGACATTTTCTGCAATCAAAGCTCAGTGATTTTTATAATAAAATGGCCAAAATTAAATGAAATGAAAACTATTATTTAAAAGGGCTTATTCTTATCAGCAAGTAAAAGAGAACTCACTAAAATCATAATGTCATGGCATCACTTCAAGCAGATTATGCTTTCCAACCAAAACTACTGTATGAGTAGTTTTAACTTATGATTTATACAATGTACAATGCTTTTTATTTACTCCGTGGATAGTCTGGATGACTACCAAAGTTCTCTTGAGAACACATTGCAATAGTTACAACATAATAGAGGCATGATGTTCCATTAACATGTACCCAGAGGAAAGAATACAGTTCTTCTGGACACAGGAAGAGTATGAGAAGTTAGAGCACATTCAAAAAACTGAGGGCTTGTCATAAACAGATAGTTAAGGGTTAATGCCTCTTTTACCTGTAAAGGGTTAAGAAGTTCACCTAGCCTAGCTGACACCTGACCAGAGGAACCAATGGGAGGACAAGATGGTTAAAAAGGGAGGAGGGAAGTTCCCTTTGTCTGTGTGAGTTTCACTTTGGACCAGAGTGGGAAAGCTCCAGAATTCAGCCTCTTATTAAGTAGTGAGTATTAGTGAAGGAAATAAATAGGTTTATGTTTATTTCTTTGTAACCTGTCTTGTGCAATTAGAGGAATAGTCAAATTTGGTATTTGGGTATTTTTTTTTGTGTGTAACTAAGGGTTTGCCCGGGGAGCATCCTCTGTGTTTGGAATCTGTTGTCTGTGAGAGTAGCTGGTATGCTAATCTCTCCCAGAGGGTTTTCTTTTACCTTTCTTTTCTTTAATTAAAAGCCTTTTTCTTAATACCTGATTGATTTTTCCTTGTTTTAAGATCCAAGGGGGTTGGATCTGGGTCCACCAGGAGTTGGTGGGAGAAAGGAAGGGGGATGGTTAATTTCTCCTTGTTTTAAAGTCCAAGGGGTTGGATCTGTGTTCACCAGGGAATTGGTGAAGAGTCTCTCAAGACTACCCAGGGAAAGGGAATTAGTGCTTGGGAGTGGTGGCAACCAGACCAGATCTAAGCTGTTAATTGAGCTTAGAGCTTCTCATACAGGTCCCCACATCTATACCCTAAAGTTCGGAGTGGGGAAGGAACCTTGACAGGGCTAAATTATGAATCATTTATTTGCACATGAAATCCTTTTGAAGTCAGTGGGACTACTGCTCTGAATAACTGCTTACCAATGTGAGCAAGGGATTCACAATCTTGCCCAAAGTAATCAGAAGAGTTTCTTGAACCTTGATCCTACCAACACTTAAGAACATGTGTAACTTTATGCATGTGAGCTATCCCACTGACTTCAATGAATTAGTCGTGTGTAAAGTTACGCACATGCTTAAGTGTATGCTAGATGAGAGCCTTAGATTGCAAGCTCTTTTAGAGAATGGACTGTAGTATACCGAAGCTACATGCATGTGAAAGAATTCACTCCTTTGAGAAATTATTACAACAACTCAGTAACACAAAAGAATGTCAGTTGATTAAAAAATATATGATATCTTCAACTGTAGCAAATGATTATTTACAGCCATTCAGAACAGGGTTCCAAACGGAATTAATGTTCTAAATAACATGCTACTATGTTAAACATTTTTAAAATTCATTTACTAAATTATAATTGTCCCAATTATGCTATTCTTACTTAGGCTGAGAAGTAGCTTACTCAGTGAGTAGTCCCAAGGGGGGAATCAATGAGACTGCTCACTAAATAACATATTACTCCGCTTGAATAAGGCAAGCAGAGAAGGATCACTATGATTAAATATCCTACAATGGCTAGTTTTCCAAGAATTGTTTATTTCTCTGTGCCCATCCTGAACATCTCACATCACATTACAGATGCAAAAAGCAAGGGAAAACCATAAAATAGCATTATTATAAAAAATACTACCCAGGGGGTAAAAAATATGGTCTGGATCCTCAATCCAGGGCAGCAGAAGTTGGTAGAACTAAGGAAGGGATAAAAGGCAGTATGTGGAATTAAGTCTGTACATTTGTATCTGTACGCAAACACCAGAAACCCCTATGTTTAAAGGACTTGCAGATATGGCACTTGTCACTTATGTGCCCTTCGCCTAAGTACCTTAGGCAGCTGGTATGTGGATTGCTGACGGGCATAGGCCATTTGCAGCGATTGCAGGGCTTAAAGCCTGGGGACCGGGCATGCGTCAGCAGTAAATAAACTGGCCCGGCCCGCCAGGGTGCTTACCCTGGCGAGCCGTGTGCCAAACGTTGCCAACCCCTGCTGTAGAATAGACAATTTATTTAAAAATACAAGAAAACTATAGTCAATGTCATGGCTGCTATTCAGAGCCCTGAGGGCATCCATGAAATTGACAAAAAGGGCAAGAGAATTCCCTTTTCACCAAAGCATTGTCCACAGACCTCAGGGGTGGAACCCTCACCCACATCTTTCCTATTTACCTTGAGCTACTAGATTTAATCTTCCACCTCGTATGTGTCTTTAAAACTGTGTTCAAATGCTGTATTACCAACATAATTCTTGCTCCCTGAGAACAACAGCTCCCAGCAAGCCCATATTCAAATCGACATAGTTTATAACTCTTTTTCCCATCACCATAACTGTAGAGAGCAACACCCACATAGCACAATACAGAAACCCTTACGCAACTAATTGTCACTCCCGAGAATGATCCCGTTGAAATCTCCAGGATTACTCACATGAGAAAGGGTTTCAATTTGGATCCATAACAAATAAATTGAAAACATAATTCTTTGGAACTTTTAACAATACAATCAACTCCATTCATTTTTGTGGAACTTTTCTTTATGCTGCTTATAAATTCTGAGCAGTTACAGAAACACAATGGGCAATTAAAAACAGCTCAGCAAAATCACAAAAACACCTTCAAATTAAAGGAAAAGTAAGTGAAGAATGGTAAAAAGGTTAAAGCAGCACTAGCTTTCTGGCATCCAATCACAGATCCCACAGAGTTCTACAATGAAACTCATCAGCATAGCTTGTGGAGAGAAAAATGAGTTGCCAAACGGACATCAGGTAGGAATATAAACTGCAGCATGTACAATGTTCCATGATGTCAATGCCAAAACAAAGTTAAATTAGGCACACAGCCTGATCTCCAACCCAAATTCTAGTAGGATCATAGTTATCTTGGTGGCTATCACAACATCTATCTTTAGAGCCCTGGAAAAGTGACTCATCTTGTGTAATTTTTGGAAAATTCTGTTCACTGATTAGGTACCACTCTTGTCAATCAGCTTTTTAAGTGAAAGCTGCACTGGAAATACTGTCTAGGAACTCTTAAGTTCTGACAGGGCTGGGTGGGGGGGTTCTCACCTCACTGGGAACATCTTTGAAATTAACATACAAATACTTGGTTGAAAGCATCTCATTTCTTAACTAGTCTGAATATGTGTCAGGCACAGTACATTTCCCTGGATGAATTAAATAGGAGGGAGCCAGTGCCCTGCCTGAGCAATGGTGGCAATTCAACAGAAGAACTGCCTGACGCTTACAATCTAAATGTGAGAAACTGAATTTCTGTTTCTTTTCCATGATGAGGTATTGAGATACAATATATGCTCATGTTTTGATTAGTCTTAATGAAACCTGGATATTTATGGAAGATTTTGTTACAGTAAGGTAAAGAGTTGGAAGGCTACATAGTTGCTCAATATTGTTCTGTTTTCTGTTATAACCAGTTCTTCCTGAGAGAAGGAGTTGTGGTTGAGATATAAAAGCAGTGGTGATTTATTAGATGCAATGTCTTACCAAGACTTCTAGAAAAGTACAGTACTTTTTGCCTACTCATGTAGGTAACGATATATAGATGTAGATGTATACATGCATATGTGATATAGGTATGTCAAACCTCTCTTTTAATTTTAGATTGTCATTGTCCTCACCCTCATGCCTATTTTGTTTTGTTTTTTACACTTTTTATTCATATATTTGTATCTCATTGCCTTGTACCATACCTGTTACTATAGGCAGGGCTGTTGGACCTACATGTTATTAAAATTCCCTGACATTTCCCATTAAAAGATGCTGTTTTCAGTTGCTTTACAACTTTGCTTAACTTTAACAATTTAGGCTTAACTTTTCCATGCCAGGTGTCTGCCTCATATATATAAAATTTTCAGCCAAAATGGTTCAGCCATATCAGAGAATGAGGCTTGAAAAAATAGATATAATTTTGCCCATGTTAAAAAATTCTCAAGACCTTTTCTTTTAAATGTTCTATCTCCCCCTATACTTTGGAGTAGAACTCTAAAATGTGGCAGTGGTTGACTTTTCTGTCAGGGATGTGCTTTCTGCCTTCCCCATAAAAATGTGGCTAAGTAATAAGCCTTTGAAATTTGCAGTTTGCACATGCTCAGTAGAGGTTGAAGACTCCAACCTCATGGAGCATATTCCATCTTCTCATCGCTACTAGTGCTGATCATACAGTGCATATGTCATCACCACAGAGTGACTAAGCATGCTCCAAGCCCACAGCTAGGGGGGCACAGAAGGATTTCCCTCTAAAAGCTGATCTGTGACAGACTGGAGCCAGGCACTGGAACTGAGACAGAGAGCCTGTTGCCTCTGTTCTCAATAACACACACACACACACACGCACACACAACCCCACTCTGGCACCACGGCAGCATGGAGAAGATAGCTTTCTAATTCAAATGTGGACAGGACAAAAGCTGAACTGGGGAGAGGGAAAGAAGTAGATTGAAGAAAAGAGTGTGGTGAGACTGGGACTAGAAGGGGTGGGAGAGGAACTTGACTGGAAATTGGAGGGGGAGACTGGGACTGGTTGGGCCAAGATACTGGGAGCCAAGGCTGGGTTAGGCAAGGAGACTGGAGGTTGGGGGCTTTGAGGAGGGGGAGAACTGGGACTGGAAGCTGGTGAAAGAAACTGAGGGGTGCATGGGGAGTGGAGACTGGGAACCAAATGCTGGGGGGGCAATGAAATCAGCCGAGGAACTGAGGTGACAGGGCAAATAGTAAATAGTGGAGGGAGAATAGGGGCCTGGAGGCAAATAATTCTTCTCCTCCTCCCTTAAAAGCCAACAACATGATATGTTAATCTTTAATGATACAAGGCAACTCTTCTTAAGAAAACAACAAGGTCATTGTGGGTAACTGACTGATATAATAAAAAGGCTTATTAGCCCTGTACCTCCTGCTACTCATCATTTTTTCTCTACGGCAGCAAAGGATTTGGGGGGAAAGGGCAAAGCAGGGAAGGAATTATGATTTTCACAGTCTTTTCTCAGGGCTCCTTCTCAGGCAGTACAAAAACATACAGGCCCTTATGCAGGATTACATCTAAAGGTACAATCCAGCCCTAAACACATTTAATTTAGAGTGCGTTTTGTGATCTCTATCCCGTGGGCATTTCCTTACTGAGAAGTGAATTGTGAATGAAACAGTCATGCTTTCATGGTGCTTGGAGCAAGAATTTAGAAAAGAGCCCTTTGAGCTACGAGGCAGAATTCTAGGTGAGTTGGCCTGAATGCCTTCTGCTTCCTCCAGGCCTCCAATATGGGAAGAAGAGTGGGGTAAAGAATGCTGGAGGTAATCCCATTGTGGCTGGGGGCACTGGAGAGTCAGATGCAGAGAAGTTAAGTAACTTCCAGAGAGGTACTGAGGTCTGGTAATTTTGGTACAGGAATGCAAGTCAGGAGACTTGGGACTAATCCAGGCTCTGACATTAATATAGGAACCAATCAACTCCCATTGAAATGAATGGGAGTATTTCTATTGACTTCAACAAAAGTTGGATTGGGCCCTAGCTGAGTAATCTTAGTCAAATCTCTTAACCTCTCTCAGCTTACATTTTGCTATTTGTAACTGGAGACAGTGTTTTTTTGTAAGTGGCAAAAATGTGAAACTACATAAGGTTTAGTTTTAGTATGTCCACAGCCACAGGCAGGCAGGGTTCATGTTTGTTTCACTGTGAAAGTACTAATTTATATAATACAGTGTCCTTGTTTAGGGACATGTTTCTCTGCTGAAGAAGTATAACTGAAAACAACAATAGCAATGCATAATTACTTATAGGGCCTAAGACATCTGGGTGCCTAACAAAATGTAATCAAATATGTTTTAAGCAAAGCCAGAGATTATAATGATTGTATACAGAGCAGGTGCAAAACCAATGAAAGCAAAACAAAATCCCATAGCCATCACCCAAACATACAATAAATAAAACAACATCCATCATAGACTCTAAAAAGAAAAAGAAAACAAGAACATCTTGAATCTCCCTAGGAAGCATGTGATGGGTGTGCTGTACACTATATTGAACGCAGTACTTACCAAATCCAACAGTTTTTACTAGTTCTTTAATCAGCAAAGCTTTCCCACACCCTCAATGCAAGGTTTGCCTGAGTAAGAAGTGTAGGATCAGGAACTGTACTGGTGAAGCATAGAGACAGTGAGTGAAATCCTGGCTCCACTAAAGTCAACGGGAGTTGTGCCATTGACATTAATGGGACCCAGATTTAGACAAAGTATTTAGAGAATACGGAGGGTTCTTAAGCTAAGGGACTGATACACATAAGAAAAAATGACTCTGGAAGAAAATATTGGTACATGGTTGAGAAAAGATAACTGCAGACTGAAACATAAACAACAGGGGTAACCTGAATATTTTAAACAAAATTGAAAACCCTGGGCAAGACAATGAAATCCTTCTCCTCCTGCCAAAAAGACACTAAGGTCTACACATTGCAAAGAACTAAGGTCAATGAGAAATTAATAGGCTACACTTCAACAAGAGCAACTGTCACAAGGGAAAATAAATGTTGGGACCCCTCCTTCCAAATAGCCATAAAAAAAAGGAGAGTGATCACAACCCCCTAGACCTACTCATGACCCCTTACAGGGGTTGCATCCCCCAAGGATATGGTAATGGCACTGTCTGTAGTCTGGTGAAATAAACAAAACTCCAAACACTTAAACAAGAAGTATCAAACTATTTATTAAAAGCTTGTTTGTTATGTTGAATGGTATTTTCATAGTAACCAGAGTGCTGCATGCACTATTCATGCTCCCTCCTGCCCCTAATCTGTCCCTGACTCACCTCCTCTATGGAAGGGGAGAGTGGGTGACACAGAGTTCAGTACCCTGGCTACATGCCACTGGGGAATTCTCAAAAGGAAAATCCCAAGCTGCCCTTTAAAACAACTTTGTTCTGCTGGAGCAATGCAAAGGGGAAATACACTGGGTAGGGGTCAGGTGCAAGAATAGGTTGATTACTACTAAAAAATGTAATGGCAATGATAGTGAACACTAGATGGCTAGTTACGGTTTCAATAGGGATTTGTAATCAGCACAGTAGCACCATTACACATTTCAGGGGCACAATGTTTATGAGTTTTGCTGGCCTGGCCAGAGGAGGCTGAGAACGTGGTAACATAAAATGCTCCTTTTCAGGGCGATCCAATCAATAAGGAACAGACAAAAGTCAGATGTCACTTTCCCTTCCTGGCAGGTACCACCAGCTACAACAAAATTGCAGACCTATCTTAAGGTTAAACTTGTGGTTTTTCTTTTATTATTGTGTTTACTAATCAAGGAATTTACAAGGGAGTGGTATGTTGTTTTGAGAGCTGCATTGGAATTGCAAGCTATCACTTTATGGGCACTGAAGAGGTGTCCAGGTCCTGATTGCGGGCTAGAGATCTCTGTAACAAAGCATGCAGGTACAGTCATTCTGGAAACAGCGAGCTTAAAGGAAGGTGGGGTGAGTTGTGCCACACTGCCTTAGTGGAGCAGCATGTTTTCGCTCTCTATTTTGGGTTCTTGTATGTTCTGAACTCTAAGAAATAAAGTAGGGTAACACAGTACTTTCATTTTTATCTAATTTCTCTGTTTCCGTACCATAAGGATCACGTACTATCCAACAACTAAGCATGTCGTTTATTTGTTTGAATTTACAAATATTACAGTAAACTAATAAGAATACTAATTTAAGTCTTTCTTTGGAGCTAATACTAAATATGTAGGACACCATCTGACATTCTGCTGAGAACAGTATTTGGTCTTTCATTTTCATTATGTCTAGTGCATGTCTGTTCTTTTTCTGTGTTAGTGTATTCCATGACATCCCAGAAGGCATTTTTATGCAAAGTGTCCTAATGCTGTCATATTGAACACTTAAAAGCCTGATCTCATCTTAAAAGCTCAAGTTGAACACTTAAAAGCCTGGCCTGATCTCATACTGCTGTAACTCCATCTACTTCATTAAAATGGCTCCTGGTCTACATTGTTGTGAGAGCAAAGCAGACCCACAGGTATCTTTTTAATAAATAATTCTAGTAAGCATACAGTACGGGCCTGATTCTGATCTCAGTTACATTGGTGCACATCAGGAATAACTCCACTGAAGTCTATGGAGTTATCTGGTGTAAATCCAACATAAGTCAGAGGAGAATCAGACCACATTTATTTGGAATCTCCCTTTTTAACAGCCATTTTTTCTTTTGAGATTACCTATCATACTTTTATTCTATTCGAACAATAAGAAAATGAAGGTGCCACCACACAGATATCCATTAGCTGAATGTCCTAATTGGCAAACAAAATTCCAGAGGTTTACTCATTTCAGACAGATCAGTGTAATTGCCATCTTGAACTTTGCTAAATTTAAACCATTTGGGTTGAAATTTTTCATGCCAGATGTCTGCTTCAGGCTAACATATATACAAAAGTTTCAACTAAAACGGTTCAGTTGGGTAAAAAGAGGTTAGGGTAAAATACGTTAGTTTGCAACGTATAAAAATTCTTGCAACTGTTTCTTTAAGAAACTCTAGCATTCCCTCGCATTAGAACAGAGACTTGAAATTTGGCAGGCTGATCACTGTAATGTCAGGAATGTGCCATTTGCTGTCCCTTTAATATCAGCCCAAATTCAGCCAAGTTATAAGATTCTGAAAAATCTCAGTTTGCACACGCTCAGTAGAGATATCTTAGAGTTTGGTAGCTAAATTCTCCAAAGATTCTGTAGACACTGAGCATGCTCCATCTCCTCAATGTTCCTACATGGTGATGAGACTACATATGCACCATCTCCACCAAGCTGGGGAACGGGGAAATGAGCAGAGGGGGCAGAAGATGGTGAGGCTATGAACACAGTGAAGGGAAGCAGGGGCAGACGAGGGAAGACAGGAACAGAGGGGGAGCAGGGGCAGGGGCTGGGTGGAAAGATAGGAGCAGTGGGTGAGGCTAGGGGATGAGTTAGACACAGGGCAGAAGGGGATAACAGGACTGAGGAGGTGAGAATAGAAGAAAAAGGGGACAGGAAGAAACTGGGATTGAAAGATTTTAACCACTAAATAAGACTCTATTCCCCTCTAGTGGCAGGTTACTCCACTATTAGTTCAAGTGGCAGAGCACTGTACTGTGGGTATAAAGATCCCAATCCTGCTGATTCACCATCTGGGTGAGAGGGACAGTATGGTTCCACAAGATGACATTTTTATGTTTTCAAAGTTTAAGTTTTAAAAGTCTAGGAAATTACTTTAAAATATAATAAGAAAACACTCAGGTTGCAAAGTCAAGCACTCAAATCAAAGTAGTATGTGTGTATGTATTAGTTTATTACATGGTCACATGTATTACATTTTTCACAGGACTTTGAACCCTTCATTCTAGCATTTCCTAACATTTGAATGCTTAATTTTGCAATCTTAATGTTCTTTTAACATAGGTTTTTTTGGATGCAATATAACATTATTAGTTATAACATTATAAGTGCCTTACCAATAGTAGCTGATAGGTAACTCCTTATACAAGGAGTTTAATGCAGCTCGAGCAAAAAACTATATCAGTGAAAAAATGATAGCAATGGCTTTTTTATTTATCTACATCTTTATAATAAATGACAACGCCTAACCATTTGTATTATTTTTATGCAGGAATCATGAAATGATAAAAGAGTTCTTTATAAACTGGCACTGCAGAAGGATGTGATGACATCAGTAAGCAGAATGACAAAATGATTTTACTCCACTTCCTGTGTTAGAGATACTATCTATATAACCACAGTTGTTATCCAGGTATTGCAACCATGGCCTTGGCTAACAGCAGCAGAAAGTGAATTAGATTTGCAAAAATGATCAGCATTTTTGGAGCATAGCAGCAATTTGGCAAGTATTTCAATTTTCTGTAATTCTGAAGTTTCTTTAACACCTTTAAATATAGGTGAGGCAAATTGCTGTGATAACAGAGACAAACCAAACTACATGCCACTTTGCAAATTAATATTTACATATTGCATTTTAATTTTCTGATTATTACAACTGTCAAATAACGCTGACATTTTTCTGCAAGTATTTGCTCAAATAAAATACTGAATTAGCTCTGTTCTTCTGTAGCTTCTCGGTAAGGCTGTGTATGTCTGTCATAGCCACAATCTCCATGGAAATGGTGACAGGGTTGGTTTGTTTGCTTGTTTGTTTGTTTCAGAAAAAGTCCTGGTCCTAGTCACCAGAGTAAGTTCACTACTGAGCAGACTTCCTATATGATTAGTTATAAATTTGGTTTTCTACATGTCTCGTGAAGAGGATTATGACACATATTGTTGAAGACTGCAAAATAACTCAACTTTCTGAAGGTTTTCATGCCTTGAACATCGTTGTTAAGAACGCTGTGCTTGACTTGACCCTACAGCTCGGGGCTGACCAGAATCCAACTACTCGTAACAGAACAGAGATATTCATAGCACTTTACTAATACTGAGCTAAATTCTTCCATCTTTAGACTACTTCTTACACAAGTTCCACTGACTTCAGTGGGACTACTTACATGAGTAAGAATCTAGGAGAACCTGGTTCTTTATTATTAACAGTGCTATTTTACCATTGGCTATCAATCAGGTATTATGTCTCACAAGTTTGTACAGAATCCACTTTTTCATCAACTTACCGGTAATTACCATTCCAGCACTAATGACAATTACTGTATTCAAATGCTTTTTCAAATTCAAGGCTTTTCCTGTAATTCTTTCTTTTGATATCATTTTCCCTATCCTGGGAAAAGCAGTATTTCTTAATCTGTCAAAGGGCAGAAAATCCAACACCGTCTAGTAAACAAACATGCCCATACTTGTCTTTCGGAAAGTACTGCAACAGCATACAGAGCTCAAATATTTCATTTAGCTGCCATGCAGGTTGTAACAATCACAGATTTGCAACCAATCTACTTACAGCACTATCCGCCCCAACTGTATTTAGATTCTTTGCATACTGCTTAGCAGCTGCACATACATTTTTATTCTAGAAAGCTAGAAGAACAGTGCTAGAAATGACTACCTGTCATAACCTAGTATGTTAGTTTCTCCCTTGAAAACTAAACTACATACAATAGTTGATGCTTCCTAGTTGCTATAGAGATAAAGTTTTTCTTCCTAAAAAAAACCAACAGATACAAAGGGCCTGATTCAAAGTTCAAAAGCTCCCATTGCCTTCAGTGGGCTTTTGATTGATGTCTAAGCTGAACTGAAGCAAAACTATATTAATTGCAAGTATTCCAGTTTGCTATTGATATACCGGACTAGCCCAAGTCTACATGCAATTTTTTTAAACTAACCAACGGAGTATTCATGAATTATCCTGAAGGCAAATGACAAATGTTTGCAAGTCATCATGCAACTTACATAGGACCAGAAAGGAGTAATAAGCCCTTCATGTCAGGAATAGTCTGAGGACAACTCTGCCATCTATGTGCCATATAATTTAATTAGTTCACAAGCATTCCTACACAAGTATTTTTGTGGTCAGCAAATATTTTCATATTTTAAACTTTAAAACTTTTAATTAAATTTCTCATTTTTCAACTGTATCTTTTTTCAAAGAAGATGACTAAAACTGAATGCTATACTCCACATGCAGACAAACCTATGTTTTTTGTAAAGCCATAGCAAAATCTGCTTGAACTTATCAAATATATCACACTGTTGATAGAGTACATAAAGATGCTTTTAACATGCCTGATTAAACTATGCTTAGCTTGACCTGAAAGTGTGTCTATGATTCCGTTCATTTTCATCTGCTTGTTTTGTATTATCAGAAAGGGTAAACAGGAGCAAACGATTTAGTTATTTCATTAGAACATGATTTATACCTTTCACAAATCTATGTGCAGCTGGTAAATTATACTTTTCCAAATATATACTTAAACCAGCAATAAATATAATCTCCAAAAATGTGCTTACTACAGGCCCTGATCCAGCAAAACACTTAGGCACATGCTTAACTTTAAGCATGTGACTAGTCCCGCTGAAGTTGTTTTTGAACAGGCATTTTTACTATTATTATTTAAATATAAAGAAATGAACAAACAGCTTAGAAGAAATGGGTTCATACTAAATAACAGAGCCAACAGAAATGTGGTATACAAGGTGTTAACCCATGACAACTCCACTAATCTGAGGTATAATCAGTATTAAGTATTTTGAAATTATTGTAGTGCTTAATGGTGTTAGTGGATCATTGCTTAGTAGCGGCAGTTAGCTGGTTAATAAGGCAACAGTTACGCATAAAGCAAGAGTTGCACATTTCTGATTATGGAAACTTAGCTCTACCAGAAGAGGAGCAAGAGGAGTCAACCCTTACTGAATGATTCCAGTTTTCTTTTTCATGAAAAATATTTCTGGTTTTAACTTCCTTCTTCCCCAGCTGTACAGTGGTTTGAATTTTTTATTTTGATCTACTAGAAGTACCTATCCCAAAATCTAGGTACCTGGAGGTAAATTATTTCTAACATTTATTAGAAAAAATCCACACAAAATTCTAGCCGCTTAGGAACCACTAAACTCCCAACCCACCATAAAAACACCTCCTATTCCAAACCCATCATAATCACCTACCCTCCCTTATCACAAAACCGAACACCCTTGCCCTGCCCCGCCCCTCCTCTGATGCCCCGCTCCTTCTCCAAGGCCCCGTCCCCCAACTCTTTCCAACTCTCCTCCCTCTGTCGCTCGTTCTCCACACCCTCACTCACTCGCTCATTTTCACCGGGCTGGGACAGGGGTTTGGGTTTCGGGAAGGGGTGAGGGCTCTAACTGGGGGGGGTGTGATCTCCAGGGTGGGGCCAAAAATGAGGAATTCAGGGTGCAGGAGGGGGCTGTGTGCTTAGGCAGTGAGTTGGGATGAAGGAGCGGGTGAGGGCTCCAGCTGGGGGCGCAGGCTCTGGGGTGAGGCCAAGGATGAGGGAGTTGGGATGCGGGAGGGGGCTCCTCTGGGCTAGGATAGGGGGTTGGGGTGCGGAGCTGTGTGTGAGAGCTCTGCGCTGGGTTTGAGGAGTTTGGATGGCGGGAAGGGGATCAGGGCTGAGGCACGTGGTTGGGGCATGGTGGGGATGAGGGCTCCTGCTGGGGGTGTGGGCTCTGGGGTGGGGCTGGGAATGAGGGGCTTAGGGTGCAGGAGGGTGCTCCGGACTGGGATCGAGCAGTTTGGAGGGTGGGAGGGGGATCAGGGCTGGGGGTGGGGGTGCAGGAGGGGGTCAGCGTATCAGGCTCTGGGCAGTACTTACCTCAGGCAGCTCCTGAAAGCAGCGGCATGTCCCCCCTCCTACATGGAGGCGCGGCCAGGTGGTTCTGCATGCTGCCCCATCTGCAGGCGCCACCCCCGCAGCTCCCGTTGGCTGCGGTTCCTGGCCAATGGGCGCTGCAGAGCTGGTGCTTCGGATGGGGGCTGTGTGCAGAGCCCCCTGGCTGCCCCTATGTGGTGTAGGAGCCGGAGGGAGGTCATGCTGCTGCTTCCGGGAGCTGCGCGGAGCCAAGGAAGGCAGGGAGCCTGCCTTAGCCCCCCTGTGCTGCCAACCGGACTTTTAATGGCCTGGTCGGCGGTGCTGACTGGAGCTGCCAGGGTCCCTTTTCGACCGGGCATTCCAGTCAAAAACCGGACACCTGGCAACTCTAGGCAGCCTAAGGCACAGTCCTGAGCCCTAACCCATAAGGAGCTCAGCAGAGGGACCCATTACTCCTCCTCTTCTTCACACATTTTGGGGTGATGTGTGTTCTCCAGAGCTCAAGGAGGGAGCAGTCTCAGAACTCCCCTCAGCACAGGACTGCAATTGTCCCTGACCCATGCACTCGTGAGAAGGAACACTCCTTGAGCCCCTTCCCGCCCCCCCCCCATACAAAACCACGTCAGGGCTAGTGACAGTATTGCCAACCCAACATGCTCAAAAAACGGGGGGGGAGGGATAGCTCAGTGGTTTGAGCATTGGCCTGCTAAACCTAGGGTTGTGAGTTCAACCCTTGAGGGGACCATTTAGGGATCTGGGGCAAAAAAATTAGTCCTGCTAGTGAAGGCAGGGGGCTGGACTTGATGACCTTTCAAGGTCCCTTCCAGTTCTATGAGATAGGTATATCTCTATATATTATTATGTGCATCAGACCCTTCAAAAATCATGAGATTGACTTTAAAATCATGACATTTTTGAGAGGAATGACTTTGGCATCTTTTTATTTGTCTTCTGGTGTCATAGCCTTTGGGGGTTATGTTGCAAGCTATTGTCACCACCTTATGCAAATTAGTACCTTTTTTTTTTTAATTAAAGCTTGGCTTTTCATGTAATCCCATCAGGGCCGGCTTCAGGGTTTTTGCTGCCCCAAGCAGCACAAAAAAAAGAAAAGAAAAAGCCACGATCGCGATCAGCTCTACCGCCACTGCTTCAGTCTTCGGCGGCAATTCGGCAGTGGGTCCTTTGCTCCGAGAGGGACCGAGGGACCCGCCGCTGAATTGCCACCGAAGAGCCGGACTTGCCGCCTCTCTCCGTTGGCCGCCCCAAGCACCTGCTTGGTGGGCTGGTGCCTGGAGTCAGCCCTGAATCCCATGAATTGAGAAACTGGGGCTTTCAGTAAACTACCAAATATTGTGATGTTTGAAAACATTGCAGTCAGGACCTGAAAAACTAAAGGGGCCTTACAGCATACTTCAAAGATCACAAAATCCCGATGCTGTAAAACCAA